TCATAAATTTTCATTTCCACCCCGGAAACCCCCGCAAAGCGTGAAAACTGTCACCGCAAACGTGCTGCAGATTAGAAAAGTGACAGTTTTCTACCCAGTAGAATTCAACCGGGCGAAGAAATCGATGTTGGAAAACAGCGCTTGAATCACTCTTCACTTTCACTCTCCCGATTTTCAGAACTACACAAAGTGCTTGACACAAACGAATACAACTCAGTGATGAAGGGTTTTCATTGTCCTTCCACAAGAACTACAAACTCGATCCGACTTATCCTCGGCTCGCAATATTCTCTTTACGAGAATTACATCAAACGAGCCCGTCTGCCTTGAGGGCTGAAACAAGTTCTCGGTACCAATCTGATCCCCCTGAGAACCAAATTTGACACACAGACGAAGCGGGTGCCAGCTTAGCCTGTTAGCAATCAACTTTGATTTCCGGAACGTCATTTTTCAGCCAATGGTATTTCCCTTCGTCTGGGAGAAGTAGAAATGAAAATTTGTAAGGGATGGTTGCAAGCTCTCCTTTCGCCGGCCCCTTGCGGCTTCGCCGTTGGTTGCATTGTTTTATTAAAAAGAGTGATAGGCTTTCAGTTGTAGTTAACGGTTATGTAGGATTTTTCGGCGCAAATTGAGAGAATATTTCGTGTGTTTACGGTTAAAAGATCCCCATGTAAGCTTCACATTTTTATTCAGAATGTACGACCTTTGCATAATAACATGGATTACTATGAATCAACACACCTTGACCCTCAGTTGTTTTGGTAAATACCCAAGGTTGAAATGGTGAGCCTTGATGACACTTCCTTCAAACTCATAAATATTCTACAAGGAGTCAATTTGTAAACATCACGAGTTAATAATTACGGGTCTGAACAACATGACACAGGGTGCCCATCAGTAAAAGCTTATCATTTAATACAATAAATAACAGGGGCACCCAACGGGAATGTAGTTCAAAACCAATTAAACATAGCACTGTTGAACGTATTTTAGTATTGAAACGGTATATGTAGGGATATTTTTATCCCCTAAAAATTTTTCATCTGTTCGGATTTCTTAGCTAAAAGTCTAGTGACCCGAAATTTATAGGGATCAAAACTTACCTTTTCGAAAATTTCAGCCAGAAAAAAGGCTCCCGAAAGTTCTAGATGACTTTTTTTAGGGTAAAAATCCGTTAAAAATGGGCAATTATACCATCTTTTAGATGTTGGAAGATCCTAGGAGAGGCAGGCAAGCAAGAAATTTTACCACAAATGTTCCGAAAATTCTAGATCTCAAATCGTCTTCCGATCAGATATTTTCCAAAAATTGACGTTGGGTGCCCCCCAAATAAATCAATCAATCAATAAAGAAAAGGTTAGGCGCCCGGAGCCCTTAGAGCTGAGCCCTGGAGAGGGGTTTAAAAAAACTGTATTAATTTTTTTTTACCGTATTGCAGAGACATAATGACATAAAACTTTTGAAATTAAGGTTGATGAAATCTAATGATATTGATATTTTGATATTTTTGTACTGACTGTCATTTAATCCGTATTTTACATGCAAAATAGAATTAATTTAATAGTTTTCGGACAAATTTCAGGTACACACACAACGTCTTGGAATTAAACTGATAAATTTTTCCCATTAATAGAGGATATTACATGTCCGCGCGGAGATACAAAATTTCTCTTTGAGTGTTGAAAAATATTTCACTCGTTCGCTGCGCTCACTCGTGAAATATTTTTTTCAACACGAGATACAAAAACAAAAACACGAGATACGAAATACAAAACCATTTGACTTAAATAGCTTTTGGTGTGAAAGGCGCGATTTATTGTGAAGCCATGGCAAAGGTGATATTTTCACATGTGAAGATATCTGAAGTTTTTGCGCGAAAGCTCAGCTGGTATTTCATTGGTGTTTATATAATAAAATGTAATATTTTTCCCAATATTAATGATAATATAAAATATGATATGATAATTAGCAAACACTTGCCGCTTTCATGACATTTTGGAATTTACTGGTAACAGGGGCTTGCCCAACCTATGGCGTGAGGAGAAAAAAAAACGATACATTTAATGCTTGACGAACACATGGATGGGAAGCATGTTTTAAACATTTGAAACATTTATAACACAACTTGCAACTCACCATACTATCAATTGCTTTCACTTTCTTGGGCTGATAATAGTCGATTCGAATGAAACCCCCGTGAAATACCCGAATATCCTAAAAGTAAAATGATTTTGTTAATAATAATTTATTACTCTGATTAATCAAATCAACAAAGGGAAGATGAACAAACAGAACCAAAAAAAAGAGCGCATTGGCATCAACCACTCTAATTTACAAACAGTCAAACTTTTGCAGGTCATTATAAAACATTAAACTGCTCCCAAATTTCACCCTCAAAAACTGCAAAAAGGTTAATATATTACAAAATGCAGTAACCAACAGAGGAATTCCTGAAATGTCTGGTAATTTTCCTAAGATTAAAAGAAGTTTGTGTTGTCCATATAAGCTAATGAAATTAAGTGCTTATGCAAGCGGAGAACAGCACTTGGAACAATGCCGTGAGAAAAATCCAACTAGATCTTACATGCATATGCAGAGAAATTCATGGAAAAAATAAATCAAAATAGTTTAGAGGTAGTACCTTTGAAAACCGGTTCTGAAAAGTCAAAGCAGCTCCCTCGGGAGTCCAAAACTCAACCCTTGCAGTCCAGTATTCTGGATTGAGCTGCAATGAATTTAAAGAAAGCACTTATTATTATTATTATTATTATTTTGGCTTTTTTGTTGACTGAGGCAAAGTCTAGATCAATAAAAACGCAAGAACGAGGCTATCCAGCTATATCTTTGTCAATATCAAAGGATTAATAATATAATTTCTGGCCAAAATATTATATTAAAATAATATCATACGGGACAAAGCAGGCAATCCCGAGCAGGAAATATGGGCTGAGGATTCATTTTTATCTTGCCCACTCGCGGATTCAGTGATGTAAGTTTCATTAAGTGCACTTTTAATTAGTAGTGCAACCATTCTGGTAATAAAACTCTAATTCTTGAGAAGCACATGTTAAAGTAATAAAAATAATTATTTTATTATATTAATTAAATGTATCAGCAATCCAAACTGCAACTGTTTTGGTCAACATACCATTTGGGAAGAAATATGGCAAATAAACTTAAGGGGAAATTTGCCAAATTGCAGCAACAACCGTGTGTTCTGCGATAATCGCCATAATAGCTGTGTTGTTGTATCAGATTGTTTTCTTTTTGTTTGCAGTGTAGCAAATTATTTTAAAAAACTTTGTGCAACATTTTCATAAAAAAGTCATATCTGTTGCGAGAACCGTAAAAAAAGACATCATCGACAAACTATTTTGTTTTCAACACCAGTGGTCGCTGTAATATTACAAATACCCTTACAACATTGCATGAAGTGTCTTTTTACTGACCAATCATAATTTGTCTGATGACCATGTGGTAGCTTTATTTTGCCAAAAGGCGATTCGACAAACACTTATCTTGGAGCACTGAGTGTATATGCAATCACTGTGGAAAATGTGTCACCCACCGTTGTACTTTTAACCACGGCTGAAACTACTTGTCCCATGCCTAAAAATAAAGCTCGATAGTTTAAAAAAAGTTTAAGTGGCTGTTTCCTGAATTCTACATACTATAATTTTGCGATGTTCACTCTAACTTTCACACCTTGAATCATAACGAAAAAATACTCGTCAATTACAACTGGGTGAACTAGGTGAAACGTGTTAAGTCCAAGGGAGTCTAATCAGTGAAATGTTTGAGACGATCGATCTCTTGCAGCAACAGCCGAAAAAGTTGCTCTTGCGCGAGATTCAACAAACCTGAAATGGCCTCGAGCTCACGTGCCGATGTCTTTTGTGCCATTTGACGTTTGTTTTTTCTACAATGGCAAGATTAATGGCATTCTGGAGTTATCTAAATACTGTTTTCGAGAACATTTCGTTAATTAGCTGAGGATACCCTGATCGGAATCAATATTTCTACTCTATAGGTTAGCTTCTTTGATATTATGGGAAAAATATAACTCTTAAGTTTAAAAGTTGCACACCACGTGCAAGCTTTTTCATACTCACACATAAAATGTTCCAGCAATTCCTCCTCCTTAGGGACCGTACTTTCCCACGTTTGTCCGCAGACAAAGAGTACAGATTGGAACTTCCTACTGACTGCCATCACGGTCGAAAAACAGCAATTATTTCAAGTAGCAAGTAGCAAGATGAACACGTCCACAAGCTTCGCTCGTCCAAATGCACACCTCGCAAATAATACTCAGTGCATAGACGCGACTTCCCGTTATGATTGACAATGATACCGGATTCTGATTCTGTTGCGCACGCCGGACTATTGAGAATTTGTTCATGCTTAGCGGATGTATAATGAGTTATGGATGCACGCGGGAAGTTTTGAGAGCCCGAAGATTTGAGAGATTTGTGTTTCTTACTATAAACAGAGAGAAATTTCGCAGTCAATGACAAATGGTTAACTGCGAGATTTGTGTTTCTTACTATAAACAGAGAGACATTTCGCAGTTAATGACAATTAGTTAACTGCGAGATTTGTATCAGTATATATATATATATGCATAGTATATTTTTACTAATTTTACTTTTCACTGAGATAATTAATTGCGAAAGTTTGTCGTCTATCTGTAGACATACTTAAATGCAAAATTTTTTCATTTAAATCTACTCCCAATGATAGTAGAGTCTGTGGATGCCAATTAAGATTGCATTGTTGGGAAAACTCAGGTCACTTTCACTGTGAGCTCTGGGCCAATCAAAATTACGTTGCTGGGCAAACCAAAGTTGTCACCGGCCGCTCCATGTCAATCAAACTCGGCCTGACACTGCCTGGGACCTGTAAAAGTTCTTTGAGGTGGCTGGCAATTTACTGAGTAAAATTCACTTCTCTTCTCAAGTCCCAATCACAATCTGTTCAGTTAAAACTCCTTCGATTTTAAGATGCCGCTGTTTAAAGCATGGGATGTGTCCAGGACCAAAAGAAAATGTGTTGTTGCAAATTCACTGGACGAACTGACCAGAAAAGGTAAGGGGTTTGAGTGTGTTGTATTACAGAGCCCAGCACAGTTGGTCGAGCGACGGTTAGAGCTTATTCGGGGTTAAATTTTAACCCGGGTTTCTTTTTCTTTTGAACAAAAGCACTCTCTCGGAAAATTTTCTCGATTCTTTTTAGAGTATCCGATCATCAAATATAATTGTAGGCAAAGAGAATTAAACTGAATTTACTTTTTAAGCTCTCATATGTGAGTTTATCGTATCAAGTGACGTCATTTTGGCGCGAACTATTTGCGTCCCTTTAAAAAACGAGTGATGTTAAACGGAAAAACCGTCAGGGATGGGTGACACTTGTACTTCAATAGCTGATGAGGTGATATTCGGTGAAGAAATATCAAAACTGTGAAAAGTTTTTTTTTCAAAGTATGTCAAAACAAACATATAACGGATAAGCTGCCACGGGCTCCCAACGACTGTCTTATCCTAAATGCATTGAAAACACCAAAGTACTTTTAGATCTCTAGACTGAAGCATTCTAAGCGACGCTGTAAAATTTGTATCTGTTCGGTCATCCTAGGGGAACTTGCGTCTATTCGAAATTACAAGGGCTTAAGTATTATTTTCCAGAAAATTTTAGATGAAATTTGACGTATTACGAAAGTGAGACATTTTCTAATTCCCCTCTCCGCCACATTTTTAAATCCGAAAATTGTAGGTTTCCCTTCCTTCTACAAAAATAGCCTGACCTGGGAGGTAAAATGCGAAAATTAAACTTCAGAAAGTCGTAGGGAATTTAGTAGGTAAGCTGCGAAAAATTTTTAGCCGTTCTCAAGTAATAGAAATTCTAGGCAGAACAGATGTTTTACAGAAAACAGTCGTTGGGTGCCCCTGGACGGTTTCCTCGTAAATACATTGAAAACACTTTTTAGGCTATGCAGAGTACTTTTAGATATCTAGATATGAATTCTCCTGAAGCGGCGCTATAAAAGTTTGCAAAGTTTGCATACGCCATGAAAGAAAACATAAAATTAAAAATATAAAAACTTTGTAGAGCGCGCGCTCAAAACAAAACAAGTCGGTAATGTTTTCCCGCTCCATGGCTGCCAGGAAAATCCGGCCTTGGTAAAGTACTGAAATGGAGAAAGAAAAAACGCCCACTAAACTTTGTATTGGAATACAGGTGAAAGAACTAAATCGAAATACAGCCGAAAAAAAAAAAGAGCTACACAGCTCAATAGAATTTGGATCAAAACTCAAGTCACGTTTCATGTGGAGTGATCGGGTTTGATTGACAGCGCATCAGTAAAACCGTTCGCGATTGGATAAAACCCAAAAAGGAGGACAATAGGCATTTTGCATGAGTTGATCACGTGATTAACATTCGGTAAACACGAAAACAATTCGCCTTTGAGCAAGAGCATATTAAAATTAGGGTTATTTTGGCAATGATTTACATGGGCAAACTGGCCCCGGTTGTTCAAACGTTGGATAGCACTATCCACCGGAGAAATCACTATCCAGAGGATGGCGTAATTGGTTTCCAAAATACTTATCCGCTGGATAGTGATTTATCCGGTGGATAGCGCTATCCAACGTTTGAACAACCGGGGCCTGGTCGGTCCAAGGTCTGGGCAAATGAAGCGCAAAATTTAGGACCGGTAAATGTCGTCCCGGAATCGCGTTTACCATTTGTACAAATGAGTTCCATTTACCAAAAAGCGACCGCGAAGGCCTGAACGGCTTTGAAGAAATGCAACACGGATTTCCGTTTGGAATATTCCTTCCGGAAAAGCAGGACTACCCTTTTAGATGTTACGTTGCTCCCGGAAATTTTCCGATGGAACGACCCAAAAAGTCCACCCACTGCACGTTTGCATGGTTTTCCACACAAATCCTTGTAAATTTCAAAATTTTCAAAACTGTCAATCAAATCAAATCTCCTTTTAATTCATTACAGGCAATTTGAGCCCTAAGCCGGCGTAAGCTAAAAGGGAAAGATTTAACGAAAATTAAAAAATGTTAGAATTTACAAGGATTTGTATGAAAAACCATTCAAACGTGACTGGGTGGTGGGAGTTGTTTTTCTCATACAAATCCTTCTAATTTTCGGCGGCCGTTGCAATCACTACTTTTAAGATTATGGCTGAAAATTTATTTCAGCTTAACCGATCTGTTTTCGTGTTTACCGAAAGTTGATCACTTGATCAGCTCATGCAAAGGGCCTATTCCTCCAGTAAATTTGGGGCGCTGCAGGGGATAAAAGTCCTTCGAGCGGGGGCCAAGTACCGGAACCGGAAATGGTAAAGTAAAGTGGTAATGTGCCTCGAGACACTAAGAAGTTTTCTTTGCATCACGCCTAAGTTGTTCAAACGTTGGATAGCGCTATCCACCGGATAGATCACTATCCAGCGGATGTATTAGAATTAGAGAAGCTATTGCGCTTAGTATCCAGTGGGGGATGCTGTCCCAAAAATTTTGAATTTAGAGCTTGTGAAATCACCGGAAACGCACCGGTTTATTTCTACCAACCCGGATGAAATTTTGTCAAATTTCGTGGCGGATTTACGGGATTGTCCAGTGGACCATGGTCAGCCCTTTTTCTGTGAAATTTTGTATCATTTTTAAAGAATTCTCAGTTAAATAATTAGTATTTAAATAACTGCCAGTGTCCCAGCCGCCCCTTTCTGAATTTTGTTTTCCTGCCTACCCATTTCTGAATTTTCTGGATCTGCCCCCGAATTTTATCACTATTCCAGTTTGTTTTCTGCTCAAAAATGTACCTTAAACAAGGGGAATTGTGCTTGCTTTTACCAGTCGGCGTGCTTCTCCCATGATTTTGTCCTGAACAAATTTTTAATAACTATAAAGGAGTTCAGCATGACAATTGCATGACGGATAAATTGCGGCAGCGATAAAGTGGGCCTAAACATACCGTTCTATTGTCTTTTCAAGAAAAAACAGGTGACGCTCGCGCGTGCGCAGAATCGGGACACTGTCCCTTTAAGGAATACATTGTTTGATGGGACAGTATTCGAACTGTGCTTTCTGCTTTACATAGTAATATGATAAAGGCATAGCTTTTCTTGAAACAAAGTGATATATGCGAAAGGAGTGTTTCATGAATCTGGTGTAAGACTAATTAAACTTGACAAAATCCCAGTCATTGTTTTATTTTAATTCATAATTCCTTCCCGGACCCAGGTAAAGAAAAATTAGGCATTCAGGAGGAAAACTGTAAAGTCTTCGACGAATCTGATGGCACAGAAATAGACGACGACGAATGCCTGTTGGCCCATGACAAAGGCACGGTTTTTATACTCGGCAATGCATGGAAGCCGGACACAGTTGCACCGCACATCCATCCAGAAACGGAGCCGGAGGTGGAAAAATACACCTATGTGGAGTCAGAGATAGATTTAGCGATAACAAAAGAAGCCGCCGCATGCGTAAGTGGTCTCGGAGAAACAGAGCAGATGGACGAGATGTCAGATGGAGACGTTTTTGATATACAAGAAGAAGTCGAAGGTAGTCCGTGGAATCCAGCAATAGAAGCTGAGCAAGACAACCAGACTGGAACAGACCACAAGGACGAAGACAAAACGGACTCTATAGATATACCAGAAGAAGCCGCAGGTAAGAAAAACTGTACCTCAAGTTTTAAATATTACGTCTAGTCAAGCTAAAACACAAAGGAAGATTCATCACGTTTACAGTGCGACAACTGTAAGTGGGGCCACCAAGATAAAGTTGACCAATCGGATTGCACGAAAATAACTATACATTCCGAGAAAGTTGGTTCTCAATCATCGTTACCACGGAACTAAATCAGTAAACAGCATTACAGTGCTGTATAGCCTGCGAGAGCAGACGCCTTTTTCAGTCATTCATCCGCAGAGTAAAGTCAGCGTCTGCGATTCCGAGCTCAGCGGGGCAAAAATTTCCGTGACGTCCTTTTGTTCCAATACAATTGAGTGATAGAAAGATGCGATTTATAACGTGCGCGAATTCGGGTTTCTTAAAACATTTGATTAATACAGTAAGCGCCTGGTTCGTAATTACCGGGTCCCTTGACGGTCGGCTTATGAAGCTTTTTTTTTTGATGAGTCAAGCAACCAAATCGAAGTATCTGATATTTTATTAATATCATTCATTTGCAAATGAGAATTTAGTGAATTGTTAAGGAGTCGTTAAAGTAATTATATTTTTCTGTTTACTTAGGTAAGGTTCCTGAACTAGCCGAGCCCGGCAGAAAAGCAACATCATTCCTGGATATGTTGAAGAAAAACAAGTACAGAAATGCTAAAATGAAAAATATTAAAATTTACTCCGATAAAGAAATAGAAAGTCCGCAGGCCCACTTGGAGAGGAAAAGAAGGCGTTTTTGGAACGAGAAGGCGGAACAACTGGCCAAGTGTCCAAAAACGTCTCACTGCAATAAAACAACCATAGCTGGAATAATCGACGTCTCCTGGACGATGAAGAAAACTTCGTTAATTGAAACAGAGGCCCGAAAGCTGTTAGACGACGAGAGGGAGCTGCGTTTCAATGAAGACCCGACCAGTGCGAGCAAACTTGGGCAGCAGAAGAAGGAAACGCTGGGCAAAAACCTGGAACGCATGACTGCTGCCCACTTGGCACTAGAAGGCCATGATGCCAAAGTAGAAGAATTAAAGAGAGGAAATAAAAGCTCTGCTCTGAAACGCGAGAAGGCCTTGATGGAGGGAGCTTATACTGAGCTCAAGAAAGCTCAGGAGGCGGCTGTCAAATCCATCAAGGTCAAGCGACAGCAAGTGGAGATGCGCCTATCTTCGAAAATGCTGGATGCGGGGGATGGGGATGAGGCTCTCGAGTGATGGCTCCTCGCTCCATTTTGGGCTTTTATCATTTTTTCTTGTTTTGTCTGCCATCTATTTTCATTTTTACTTAAACATACGTGCTTAACATTGGAACCATTTTTGGACCTCACACTGTGCCTCTTAAGGTCTCGTGATCAGCGACGCCCATAATTATGTAAAATTGAGTATTTTCAGATTACGCCATGAAAATGACTGTTGAAGCTCTTGTGTATTTTTCCATAGTGTTAAGTTTAAAGTCAAATGAGTCAAATTAAACGGGGAATTACAAAATATTTTATTCCTATGCAATTATCAAAGGTTTTCTCCTCGACCTAGTCCCACTCTCAACTGGAAACGCTATAGTTCACTCAAAACAAATAATTTTGAGAAAGCCCGATTAATTCCATAAACCTTGTGCTAATAGTCATTGAAAGAAAGAAAATAAATCACAACAAGTATTTGTAAAATGTCGTAAAATTGGACCGAACTAAATGGCCAAAAAATAGGCACGACAAGTCACGTGACTAACACAACGGATAAAAACATTTTTTAAGATGTATTTACCGCATGCAAAGTTTCAAGTCGATAAGTTAAATCTCCTTTAACTAGACCATCCCCTCACAAATTTCAAGAGACCCACTCCTTAATTCACCCGAGGCAGTTAGCACCTGAAGGCAACACAGAACTAACTTCTCTTATCGTTAGCAACACTTGTGTATATAATTATAGGTATACACCTACGACCAAACTAACAAAAAGAAAATTCCAGTCTTTAGCAGACCATTTCCAAAAATCAGTGATAAAGCCAATTCACAGCACAGCACCAGCTAAATAGAAAAGAGTAACCGGTCTGAGAAGAAAAATGTATTTATGGAGCTTCTGAAAGTCTTGTGTCCTTAATTTTTCTACTGATTGCATAGTTTAGAGGCCATTTGGTATATAGTCATTTTTGTGCGTAAGATCTTAAAAAAAGGAATCAGTAACATTGGAGTACTGGGTACTAGTAAAGAAGACCGTTCCTCTTCATATTAATAATTATATATTCAAATGTTGTGAAGCACAGTTTTGGAGTCAGTTTTTATATTGTAGATTGTCCTGTACCGATTAAGTTAAACAACGTCCACAGCACTTGCTATTTTTGCTAAATGTTTTTTGAGACTTTGTGGCTGTGCGAAGTCTCGTCCCTTATTTCCCTAATTTTGATTTGCCAAAAAGCATACTTTTCGAGAAATTTCATGGTTTTAGCAATTAATTGCTATAACTCTCAAATTTAATTTACAGTTACTATAAAACCCTCCTAATTAATATGATGTTTCTCCAATTAATTCAAAAACTTAAGAGAATTCGGCGATTGTTGCGACATTTCAGCTTATTCTAGTTTTACATCTTAAATATGCATTCAGTAATAAGCTCTCATTCAAGTCAACTTTTCTTGCCTGCTGTTTTTTTAAATATATATCTATAGTTCGCTCTGCAGCACTTCATGCAAGGAAAACTTCATTTGTGACCATGATGAAGGCCCAGTGAAAACCACGTCCCGGATATCTGGATATCAAGCCCACAGTCTTAACTATATGCGACTTTCCCCAATATAGGCGAAGAAAAAAGTGCCAGAAGGGGTTGGGAAGAAAAATATCTCCTCCCTTTGTTCCCGCTTTTAGACTTCTTTGCGTAATGTGAGAAGGCGAAAGGCGAGTTAGTATTTGTTAAACACCCCTCAGAAAATCTCAATATCACTAACCCCTCAGAAAATCACTTATATAAAGTGTACCCCTCAGAAATTACACCAAAAAGAGGGAGACCCCTCTGAAAAACTCGTCCATAGGGGGGGGTGTGGATATTAAATGGAATGGCCCTTTGAAGAACGGGTCATTAGATGTTTTTAATTTTATTATCTAATGATAAGGAAATAAGTGACCCTGTATTCTGTAGTTAAGCCAGTGGAGGAGTTAAAAAGCACTTCTTCCATCCCCTCACTGTCCCCTATTTAAAACAGGGAGAATGATAAACATATCTAATTTCAACTAAAGAAGATGGTAAGGATGGTGTGGTCTGGTTATACATTTACACTGTAGATTTCAGTACTTGTTCTGTTTTAAGTAAGGTTTACCTTACCAATGTATTATTTCTCTTGTCTGATAAAAAAGTGCAAAATATATGCATTAAAAATAGAAATTTAAAACCCTTTTGACCCTAAGATCAAAATTTGAATGCTCATTTGTTGCCCCTATTCATTTCCTACAGAAGTAGTGGGAAGAAGTTGATAAAATATCAAGCAGATTGTGTGATCATGTCCATAATTCTCAAGAACACTCTGTTTTACAAAGCATTGATATTTCAAGGGGAAATTTGATGCTGATCACTCTCAAGGCTTAAAGGGTTGAAGGAATAATGTGAATTATAATAATAAAGTTATGCATAAAATTAGGAAATAGAATTTTAGGTTGCAGAATTCTGCTTCAATAATGTGAATTATAATAATACACTTATGCATAAAATTAGGAAATAGAATTTTAGGTTGCAGAATTCTGCAGGTGTGATTAAGGTAAGAGGGTCTGTCAGTCAATTTGCTCCCACAATTACTCAGAACTGTGTGTAAATAAACTTGTTGCTCCAAGTCAACCAGTTTTAATTTAATAACATTTCTCCTATGGCAGAAATAGAAAGGCGGGCATCCTTTGGGTAGTGAACAAGGTTCTGCGGCATTGATCGGAGTGCTAAGAGGACCTTGGGAGGAATTTCTCACTATTGTAGAGGTAGGTGTTTTGGGAATACAATGTTTTTCCTGATATTGTGATTCAAAATACCACAGGAGTACTACAAACTCAACTGTACATTGAACCCTAAATGCTTGGGAAGCCCAGATACAAGTGGAAGTCAGACAAAATTGAGATGGAATTTAGCTTTTGTTATGAAGGTATCCCTTGGGGGCCATTCCCGTCACCAGACTACACCAAATCTCACAGAATAATAATGGCTACATTATAATACTTAATAAATTTTGACTTACAGCTGCAAAATTTCTTGACTGGTGAGAAATACATGTACTAAAAGAATCTTCTTGTATCAGGACATGCACACTGTAATTACCTCCTCAATGATGTGTGAATGTATTAGACATAATTATGCTGTCATTCTTTTTCCCATAACATAAAGGAAGCATAATTTCAACAAACTATAATTTATACAGTATACCATACATGCATACCTGAAAACTGGAAAGAAGTAATTAAACCAACATTTTTTTGACAATAGTATTGTTGTGACCATACTGACTTTTTATGTGTATGCACTGTTTGTTGTGTTTTGATTATTGTTTTTATCATTTCTAAAATTAAAACATTTGTTTTTATTGCAGAGGGATGCAGATGTTGACAGGAAAATTCAGGATTTTGTTGTGACAAAGGGAGGCATTATTTGTCAGTTTTCTCAGAAGAAGATTGATGCAGTGATAATATTGCTTGGGTGTTTTTATGTATTTAATGTATCATACACCCAATGCAAAGCCATCTTGACTTTTCTAGATCAGGCATTGCTTGAAAGTGGACTGGGGTAGACACTTGTCAACGTTTCCTCCCTTTTTTAATGACTTGGCAAATACCTCAGTTCTTGCTGAATGTTAATTCAGGACAACCTCGCAAGGTGTAGCCAAATTGTCAAAATTTTTTTCATGGAAGTTTTCTTTCACTCTAATAGACCAAGATTTGGCAAGATTTTTTAAACATAATATCTTTGGAGTAAAATATAGTTTAAAACATTTGCCAAGTCATTAAGGGCTGGGCTGGTTTAGTAGTAAGATACAGAGTCGGAAATGTAATCAAAAGCATAGAGTGTTGATCTAGTGAAAACTATAAAGCATGGGAACAAGAATTTTGACTGGTAAGTGGTTTATCCTTCGACGATTACACCACTGCTTAATCTGGTTTTCTACATCATAAGCAGAATCTAAAGAGTAGAAAGTTGTGATGACTCCAATTCCATCAAGCTTCTAGTTATCACTTCCCTTGCAACTCTGATTTTTGATTTTCACTAGGTGATGAGTGCTCTGACTATGACCCTGACTTTGTCACGAGTGAAAACCACCCTTCAAAAGGATTAGGTCAAGTCATTAAAGGCTCGCACTAGCAAGGTAGACAGAGTCGGAGTCGTAATCAGAAGCTTGAGAATTGATATAGCTAAAGCATCTTAGTTCATTATTGCTCTTAAAACTCTTTTGCTTCAATCTAATGTACATTGTCGGAATTGTTAGCAGGAGAACTTGACCAACTCTGACAATCTTTTATTTTTTTTTTGTCAAAAGGCGAGTTATAAAAGAAACCTTAATTGACTCCAATTCTGGTGAGCTTTAATTAATGAAACCCTTTACAACTCCAATTTTTGATTTTCACTACAGGTTTTAAGTGTTCCTATGATACTGATTATGATTTTGACTTTGTCTTTTGTGAAAACCGTTTTAAGAAGTAGTTACTTTGATCGCACCGAAGACAAGTGTCTCTCTTGGCCAATTTAATTCCTCCAATAATTCTAAATGTTCAATCTAGAAAAGTTGAGATTAACCGAAGATAATATTACATAAATAGGTTGGAATACGCGTTGTTATGATGTACACAGATCACAGTAACTTATTCAGAACTGAATAAATGTTTGAAATAAGCCTTAGTTTGGTTTCATTATTTATCAATACCGTAATTAAGGGAAAAAATCTGTAGGCCCCCACCCAAATTAAAAAAACCATAATGGCCCAATATGGGGCTGAATCGGCTACTTTTGGAGGGGTAGTTTTTAAGAGGGCCAAAATTTGAGGGGGCTGTTTTGGCTACTGGAAAATCCAAAATGGCCCTCGTGTTTTCCATATTGACCCTTTACATGGTCTAATTTGGCCCCGATGTAAGGGTCAATTTAGCCCCAAATTTTGGTACCAAAACGGCCCCATCTCAGTGGGGCTGAATTGGCCCCAAAAACAGTACCATTCTGGACTC